TTCAGGCGGCCGACGAAGTCTATTTTTCCGCACCCTCGTTTCGTGGAACTAGTTTTGGGGATGACCTTTGGGTAGATACGGTATAAAGTTTTACTAATCATTTGTCTCCTACTAATCATATACGTATGAATGACAGAAGTAAAATCCACTTTTTCAGACTCTATACGATTCCGATGGCAACGAGGAGGACATCGTTTATAGTTATACTTATACTGAAGTTACGTCGAGAGAAGAAGTTACGTCGAGAGAAGAAGTTACGTCGAGAGAAAGTTACCGAGAGGTGAAATATTTGATCAATCCTATTATTTAGAATGCGCCCTGCATTCGAATTCTTTTGACTTCTAGTGGCCCTCTGGATGGCCAATATAATGTCTTACTGTGTACAAGCCAGCGCCTTCATCTTTCCAGTCGAGTTTAGCACCAACTCAGTGAACACCGAGAGGTGGGAGGCGTCGCCGGCCTCGGCTGGTACCGATCCTTGCATTGCGTGTGTGATAGCGCGCCTTTTGCCACTTTATCAGCTCTTCCCGCAATGGAGATTATGTCAACAGGAATGCTGCGCTTCAGCCCCAGCCGCACATCAGGTCGCTTCAATACTACAATGCGGATCGAGCTAATAAATGTTCGGTTAGCTAGCAGCAGGTCGTGGCCCTAACAATTAGACAGACAACTTTAGAGGTAGAGCAGATTTAGCAGAACTGCCTGGACTCCTTTCGAGTATTGGGTTGGTCAGACACCGTGATAATGGAATTAAATGGAAAAGCGGGTCAGATTGGAGTTGGCGAGATCGGCCTTTCAGGATTATCATCTAAAGCATAGTTCCGTGTGGTTTCGCTTTCCTATTCTTTTTCACTACCTGAGCGATTGTTCAGACCATTGCTCTTATGAAGGCCCAAAGAAATCTTGAAAATATGGGATTCTCACAGATACGAATACGGACTGTATGCATACGCTTCGTACTTTTTTTGCAGAAATTGAATAGGTACTTTCACGTGCCGCTTTCGATGAACTTTGGTTCTTCGATTAGGACTTATTTGTTACTGTATTGAAGACTTCCACGCGTATGTGGCTGATATTTTAATGGCTAACATTCCAGAAAATCACCATCAAAGGCTAAACTTAGATAGAGGGATGGGTTCACGCAGCTTACACGCCTCCCGTCTTTCGGTTATTTCGGTGTCCGTTACTCAGAGCTACTATGCTTGATCAAAGAGTTCCAAGCAGAGTTGCGAAGGCTGAAGCGACAATGGATGGAGATGGCAAGTCAGAAGTCTCCACTCTGAATTGATATCTCCACTAAAGGTTGAGTGGTCACGCTGTGCGGTATTGTACTTACTCATCGAACTCATGAGTTCTCTGAGTTCTCGCCCACAGACGAATTAGCTACAACAACACCCTCATCGGCTAAGGTCATGTCTAAAATTCAGTTGCAAAAGCGATCCCAGCGACAGGTTTGCATAGCTTACTAAGTTTATAGTTGGTTACCACTTGAATCGTCGCACCTTATGGACACCCTCATGTTTTAAGGCAACTTTGTGGAGCACATGTGGACTGAACATTTACTATGGAATACTCCGATATGGAATGCAGGGACAGATAAATGATTGAGCGTGTCGACTCGTGTCTGCACTCAGGGAAACGAGTTTGATCCCTGGCGAAGCAAAACCATGCTATGCAATAATTGCAAAAAAAAANAAAAAAAAATGGTTTCGTCACCAACTTCAGGGCCAGGTTGACAGGCTGGTGGAAAAATCTCGTCACATTTAAAGTGGTTGAAGTCACTGTCAAATTCTATTATATAGCTTGGGCACTACCTGGAAGAAGCGCAGAGGAATCACAGCGGAGTTCTGTGGGTAGTAAGCGAGGGCTATTGAAAAACGAACCACGTCGGTCGGAGCTGTTACTTCGAACAGGGATTTCTAAAATGGGATTTCGTACTAAACTGCCTTGAGAATTGGCTGATTCGGTGTGCCCCACTGGCATTCAGGTCCTACGTCGTCGTGAACACGCTGAATAAGGGCAAAAGCTCAACCGGAGAAGTGCCAATGCTGTGGACGTTACAGGGTAGAGTACCTCAAAGACTCTTTCTCTGCTCTCAACAGGATTAGCGATCGAATCATGGCAGCGAGGATAGGCGCGAAAGATGGTTACTGGACAATAATATCCGAGTACGCCCCGCAAGCCGGTTGCTCCTACTACAAAAAAAGGTGAATTCTATTTTAAACTCGGCGAGGCCATTAGATCAGTTTCGGAAAGGTCTATCCCACCTTAGCTGGTTATCTGAATGGCCACGTTGGCTGGGAGCGGAGAGACCTCGGAAGGATTTACGTCGGCAGGGAAATAGGGGCCAGAATATGGAAAAACGAAAGGGCTCTCGGCTTGGCTACAATAAACGACCTAGCAACTGCTGCGCCTTTTTGGCAAAGTCGGTGACTCAGAAGATAACTTGCAGCGGTGCGATTGAAAAAATGGTAATTGTATGCTCGTAAGAAGATCGTCCCTCAAATCTGTGAAGGATAACAAGGCACTGGCTGGTGAAGAATCGGCCCCTCAGCGGATTCCTCTTCTAGCGGACAAAGTCGGCGAGCCCACAAAGGAAGCTAATGTGGTAGCGAAACGAACGATCAGGTGGTGGAAGCTGCACCGCGAGAAAAGAAATTTTCAAACTAATGGTCTTAGGAGCTGGTCTATTTCCCAGGTCCTTAACAACCAGCAGACTTGGAGCAGTGCTGTGGAGGTCTTCATGCAGTGTGCAAGGTTAACGCTGAAAGACACTTGAGGTGGATTCAAGGATGACAGGCGGCATGGTTCTGAATGATGAAGTTCGGAAATTTGTAAAACAAGAGAGGAGCGCTGGCTGAAGACGAGATTTTCTTTTCGTAGCTGCCTACAGAATCTACAGGAAACTCGCCAAGGCTGCCGCAGCAAAAGCAAAGAGCTAAGCGTCGTGCGCGCGAAGCTCGAAGATCGAGAATTACAGAAAATCGTTTTCAGGTTGGACAATGCCCGGGATCAAGTCATAAGAGTAGTCAGAGCCGTAAAGAACAGGCGGCGTTGGCGGCATACTGAGGAAGTCATTTGAGGGAATACAGAGATGAAAGAATACTTCGGTAGGCTACTGAGCGTAGAATTCCACCGCAAGAACAGTACTCATGCAAAAGCGACAGTCGGCTACATTGCAGTGTGGACAGAAAATGTGGTCTGAAGAGCAGTATGAAAAAAGAGCCATGGAAAAATGGTATATGGTGTACCGATTGAGGCATGAAAGGCGGTAAGAGATCTCGAGATTAGGTGGCTCACGTGATTATTAAACGCTGTAATTGCTGATGGTGAAATGCCAGATGCGTAGCGAAGTGTAATGGTCGCCATCTGAAGCAGAAGCAGCACGCGATACAGTGTTCCAACTATAGCGGGACTAAATGCATGTGCATTCTATAACGCTATACGAGCTGATAGTCGACTCAAGGCTGAGAGAGGCTGTCCTGTTTTCACAGGAGTTATTCCCCGAAGACCTACAGAGGATGTCATCTTCATAGCTAAAGAAGTAATAAAGAATTTTCGAAACAAGCGTAAACCTTGCTACATTCCCTTCTCGAACTGGAGAAAACTTTCGAACAGTTCTTGGGAGAGTGCTCCAAGAACGAAACATCACAAGTGTATTCTGGTAAAAACTGGAGCAGCGTCATATGTGGCCTAGACCATGGATTGGTAGTACTCCAATGATGTTATCAATTGCCAGGTAATGTAGTCACTAATACTCCGTACCCGAATCTGGCGCGCGAATATGTCCTAGTAGCAGAGAGGAGTAGAAAAGAACTCTGGAAATTATAATACTTTTACTACTGTGACACTATTTTTTCCGATGTTTACAGGGCAAAAAAAAAACAAAAAAACAAAAATTAGGTTGATCGTTCGTTTCAGACATTTTCGCCACTCCCCAATATACCCTTCGCCTGTGATGATCCTGTTCCTGGGCCACATCCACAGCCTCATGAGGAACGAGTATCTGCAGAAGAGGTTTGGTTGCTCTCTAGAATTCACATCCTGTTGAAAATTTGCACCACCCATCGAACATGTTCTCTAGAGACAGTGGTATACATACGATGAAATGCTGACATTAATATCAATGTTAAAAGTTGTCATCCGAGAGGCAGAGACGAGCTCGTGCAATGGGGTCATACGAGTGGAGGGGGGAGAATTGACAACTACCTGCGATATCCTTGAGTCCTAATTCTTGCCGAACAAACTCCTTCTACTTGTCTGAAGAATTTCCGTGAATTTTGTTCCCCCATACATGTGTTCTTCGTGAGGTTGGTAGAACCCAATAGATCGTAGAACAGTGTTCCGTGCCTACCTCTAAACGGCAGCTTCCCCCACATTACACATTTTGCTCAGGTGGGCTTATGTACAAACAAGATTGAATGATCTGGAAAACTTTTTTCTTCCCTATGAGTGGGGTATCATGAAGTCGACGACTATTCAGGCTGCAACATACCAAGTATCACCTTTCAGTCCAGTAACTGATAACTTTGGGCCACATATCGTAGCTGGTCGTAGAACTGGCAACAACGGAAGAACCTTGCCACCAGCAAGGGTTCATTGTTGTACTCTAGATTTTCAGCTTGTTAATTAAGCGTAATTATGGGGGTGCGAAGTGATACCCAAGACATGGTTGTCGCAGTGTCTAACTTCAATGGATCTTCAGAATCCTGGTCCTTCAACTTCGGGAATTTCTATCCGTGCTTCTAGTGCACACGGACAAGTTCACCAGCAGGCTCATCATCACAATCGTTCTATCGTCGAGTATCTTTATTATTGGTAACAGTAACTTGTGCCCTTAGTTTTAACTGAATTTTTAGAATCCTGTTGTACAAAATCCAAATATTGTAACTAGAAGTGCTAGTGCACGTAGACAGGTTCTTGAAAGGGCTAATCGTCACAATCATTCTATTGCCGAGGTTCTTCACTATCCTATACTCTCTTTATTGTTGGTAACAGTAACTTGTGCACTTAGTTTTAACTGAATTTTTAGAATCCTGTCGTTCCAAATCCAAATATTTCAACCAGAAGTGCTAGTGCACGTAGACAGGCTCTTGAACGGGCCAATAGTCACAATCGTTCTATCGTCGAGGTTCTTTACTACCTCGTACTATCTTTATTGTTGGTAACAGTAACTTGTGCACTTAGTTTTAACTGAATTTTTAGGTTGCTGCTCAGAATCCACGTATTTCAACCAGATCTGGCGCACGCAGACAGGTTCTTGACCAAGCTGAACATCACAGTCATTCTGAAGTTGAGGTTCATTACTGTCTTATACTACGTTTATTATAAATAGCAATGATTTGTGTACATTGTAAGTGGATAAAAGTGATTGTAATTGAATCATCAGGACCTTCCCGATCTGGCACCGTCCAATTCCAACAGAGGTCCTTACCCACGTAGGCCAATTAATCAGCGAGTTGATCATCAGGAACATTCGAACAATGGGGTTCGTTAAACTGCCACACTGTTTTCATAATGAATATCAGTAATCTGCCTACAGTTTCACTCATTGAAAGTAATCTCAACTGATTTCTCAGAATCCCCCTGAGATGCACTCAGCCAGTTCGAACAGAACTCGTAATCGACGCAGACCGATTCCTCGGCAATTTGATGAACAAGATGATGAAGAACCGGAGGTTTCTTACTGTCTTAAAATACTTTTAATACGGGTAACAATATTTTGTGTACTGTCTACTCTTGTGCCAGGATGACAGTTACAAATAGTAGGACCATTAAACATTTAGCAGATATTCCTACCAATCGNTAGTCACAATTTTGGAAAGATAGTTTCAATCTTCTGTACCAGTCCCATTGAAATGGAACAAACTTGTTTAAAACTGTTCAAAAATACGATAAGTCGTTATTAGTGACAAAATAATGATAGTAACATTTTTTAATAAAATCAATAAAAGCGATGATTACTGAAAAGCTGAAAGTGAAATAAGCAGACTATAATAGTGAGCTCTTAAATAATACTGGAATGTTTCAACTTTATGTACCTCTATTTTTCCCTCAATCATTAGCGTACATGTTTTGCCGATGGCTGTAGGTGTTTCAGGTGATTTTCGTAGGGCAGCCGAATGTACCGGCGCAGGCGGTTAATATAAACGCGAATCTAGGGAGGCAGTCAATTCAAACCCCGTCGGGCGCGAGGCTATCGGTTCAGTTAATTTCAATAAATTTTTTGAAGATTGTTTTTTTGATTCCTCGAAATGTTGCTCAACTAATTATAACCCTTGAATTACAGTTAAGCCGCAGACGAGTTTTTATTTCGCTCGTTGACGCACCCAGCAGTGGCCGTTTACTCGTTAGAACCGGCCCTTCTCAACGTGTACCACCACAAGACCGTCGTAGACCGCTACAACGTCCTAGGCCTCCAGCCTTTGATGAGGAGCCTGAAGTGGTGGGTACTCACTGGATGTAAATCTTGAAAAAAAAACGACCCTAATGTTTTTATAGATCACCCTCGACTAATGGGGACGAATGGATCAAGCTCGCGAAACGGACAACTCTCATTTTATTTTTCACATCTATGAGACCATTATTGATTGAAATCTGAGAGCATAATTAATTGAATATTGTACCTGAGCTACTGTTGAGCATTCTGTTGAAGTTTTTTTTTTAAATTTTTTCTGTTATGTTTATGTAGGTGTTTTCTTAATACGCGGTTTTCCTTTATGTAGCCGTATTATATAGCTGAATTGAACGGTTGATAGAAATAGTTTTTTATGTAGCTCTTTTGTAGTTCTTTATGTAAAAGTATCATATATAGTATACCTGCATTATAGAATTATCGACTGTAGTTATAGTTATTATCAAGTAGAAGGTTAATAAAGTGTAGTAGAAGAAGTTTCTAGAAATGTATGAATACACTACAATTACAATTCATTACACACACAAGTTCATTTTGCACAAGAAAAAAATGTCGACGAAATTCATGATTAGAAGAATTCTTTGAGTATTACATTAAATGGGAACGCTGACTACCATTGACTATTTTGACGGCTACTGTTTCTCATACCAAACGATCACAACGTGGGTGGCGATGGCATCCGCTTTGTTTTGCAACATACGCTACCAGTATTCTCGACACTATTGCTATATTGCCTTGAATATTGCCATTGACACTGTTTATTTTCCGCCTGTTTACTTCAGGACTCAGTTCTGAAAGGGAAGTCAAGCTAGAAACGCCGAACGCCAGCTACGACTGAGATTAAAAACTTCCGCACCCCCTATTTCTCATATGGCCTAATCTGCTGCTGCAAATGTGATCTACTCACAAGAATTAACTGGTAATACATTTTTGAGACCATCTGGTTCGACGCAGAATACACTCATGCGTTACCCGTTCGGATGCTGTCTGGAACCTAAAAATTGCGGAACTGATGGAATACCTGGAAAGTTTCATTTTTCTCTGCAAGATTTTGCCCCCATCATACTTTGAAAAACTCCAGTTATTCGTGGGAAGTCTCAAGACTGTTGATTAGGACTGTTCTGTGGTTTCCAAATCCCTTAACTAGTAGTAGTTCTCTATTCAGAAACCGTTAGTACAGAATATTACAATATTCACTTAGTATATACTGAATTTTATCACGGGGGGGGGGGGGGGGGGGGGGNGGGGTGGCCAAGAGAGGTATGGAGAGTATAGAACTTAGGACACCTGCTCCCGAAACAACACTCTGCTACCCACAGCAATGGGATGGCCATGTGATGGGTGGAATAAAGGTATCGATTGGATTAAGGAAAATTGATAAGAAAAAGGGGTAACGCTCCGCAGAAACTCCCATTGTGCCTTTAGATTTTCAGATTATTCTCTATTTACTATTTTTAGCTTTCATGCAAGTTTTCTTCATTGCAACCTGTGTAGCACCAAAGTGATTGATGACTTACCACCAAAACAATACTGGTACTTTGCCAGATATTGTGTGACTCTTCCCTTGGCTATGTGTTTATACAAAAGTGACCCCAGCCGAAAAACTCGCTCAGCACCCTTCATCTTCCCATCAAAATAGATGTGTTTCTTCGATGTTTTCGATTGTCTTTCCAAGAGAACCGCAGTTTCCACTTGTCCTGATAAAACTGCACGTGCATGTGCACGTGCGCAACCACGACACATAATAGAAGATGGAGGAACGCTTAATACTTTCATGTTTAGGTCACAAAGTGCACTTTTTTCGAAATTCTCAAGTGTATCCGATAAAGTTCTGTCCAGATTACTGCTTAAATACTTCAAATATTTAGTCATTTTCTTAAAATAATTCGATGATTAGTAGGATGTCTGCGCTGAACCCACTAATATGCCATGTAAACGCGCACCAGTAGCGATTCGCACACAAAATTGCGGACTTGTCCCTTCGAACCTGTTTTTCTAATTCATATGGAAAATCTATTATTTCCATTACTCTTCAATATCCAGGAAATGAACGTTCTTTATACTTTTTGCGTGATTTGGACGTTTCAATCGTGTATCGTTATTTTTCGTCTGCTTCATAGTTCTATAAAATTTCTGGAAATCGTTCATATTTTACCTCTCATAGCACGTTAAGGTCGATGGCCTCTTCCAGTGACAGTCCTCAGTCCATAAGAACAGTTTTGAAAAATTTGAAAAGCATCAAAAGGATAGCCTTCGATATTGGTGAGGTTTACTTTCGTCTTAGCTTTTTCGCTTTCATTTATTAATCAAAAAGGCTACCAGCTCTATTATAGCGGTAGTTAAGTTGTGATAAAATTTGAGCATTCGAAGTTCACACGGGAATTAGAAGAATTTCGATTTTAAAAAGTCAGTTTTTCGCTTCCCCCTAAGCAGTTGGAAATGTTGAATCGTCCTCGCTTCTTGCTTGAAGCGACTGCGCGTGATCAAATCAATCAATATTCAGTACTGGCATCGTTGTTAGTTTACTTAGATAAAGTGCTCGGTTGGAAACACAAGTACTGTTTAGTTTTTGAGCTCTTCAGGCATTGAACCTAGAGGTACCATGTTTTCCAATATGATTTATATTTATAGAAAGGAGTATGAAAATTTTATGGCCAGTTTACATCTGGGTAACTGTTTTTTTCCTTGAAAAAACCATCCGACAAATATACGCAGTTTGTCAACTGCGAACGTGTTAGTTACAATACTTCATTTCCGGCAGCTAGCCGGGTAGGTAAGCAAGATAGCTAACTGGTTAGGGTCTAATCAAGATTATCCTACAGTTCGTTTCCCTCTACATAGTCTCCCTTGGTACCAGAGGGTAAAACCAATGGACTAGACGATGGGATTGAGCTGATAATGCAATTATACTTATAATTACAGTGGAATTGTAGGTTTAACCCTCCTTCATCCCGACGCCTGACGCTGAATTTAAGTAGTAACATGGCAACACCTCAATACTTACGGTGCCAGCATCTTTTAATTATCACTGTTTAATTTGTCCCACTCGAAACTTGTAAAAATGCTTCAATATGGAACCACCACAATACCTACGTGACTACGAGAGCCGCCAAATTCTCCCCTTTACCATCGCATGCCAAGCGCGGCAACTGGAAATCGATACGCATAAGTCTTATTGGAATCCAATTCAATCCATGGGGTTTATGTATCCTACGGAGCTATGAAGGCGTTATAAGCCGCGTACTCCCTGACTGAACTGAATATGTGCTAGGCACTTGATAATATCGTGGTTCTACCTACTTCCAGGTTACACTGTTGTCAACATCGCAAAAATATGGCTATGACAGAACAGTAATTGTATACAAAACTATACAGTATGCTAATGCAAATTTTGTCGATATATCCCCTAATTATTGACTTTGTTCCTGAAATTCTTGCAGAGTTGGCAAATTGCCACGGGCATGTAGATTTTGTTGCGTTCATTGGAGGCACGATATGGGTTTGAGTTCTGTCCTAGGCCGATGTTTGAAACTCAATTCTTCAACCTTGTTAAAGTTGCAAGAGTTGCATGAATACTGCTCATTTACAAAATATATTCTGCCAGGAATTGATTAGCTATATTTTAATTTTTTTCTGTGCAGTACTTCATCACAATTTTTGATTGATTTGCTTACCAGTGGTGGGTTTTTTTAGGTCAATCGGTTGTAAAAATTGCATACACAGCTACGGTAGCATGTAAGAAAACAACGCATGATAAGAAGGTTTGAATGTTGGTTCTCATTATTTGTACTTTTATTTGATCCTGTGAACTACTACTTTTATTTTAGTTAATAAATGATGCGAAATTTGCTTTGCGACTGTACTGTATACAAGTGAGGCTTGAAGATTTTGAGGATGTTCTGGATTATATCGCCGAGGTAAGGTGTTATAAACTTGTTTCTTCTTGTTATAGACATCCTTTTGAATAAGCTCTTCATTTATTGCATTTTTACCCTAAATTCCATAACTGAGAGTGATTTATTTTTTGATTCCTACGTCGTCATCATCGTTTATAACAATGCAGTAACAATCGTTTCTAAGCCACCGACAAGGTCATAAGGTCTTAAATGGGGAACCAGGGTCCTGAGTCAGTAGTTTAGGGTTCACGTAGAGACTCATATGCTTCCCCTAGTTCGTTGCATTCATAAGGGCTGGGGCCAAAAGGTAGATGCACTTGCAAACCTTTTTAGGTGGTTTTCCTACGAAAGCTTTCATATTGTTCTAGAAGGAGCTTGATTGCGGTTTTAATATTCCCTCAAATGTTTTAATGTGATAGTGTCTCTTTCTGGTAGGAAGATTCTACTAGTACTGTAGTGCTATACCAGTTTTCTTTGCGAAAATTGTTCTCAGCGGTATGAAAAGCGGTCCTCAATGATGATGATACTCCAGGGATGAGGTTGTACTGGTCTTCCTGGTCTAACTTTGTAAATGTTGGGCGTTATTCTCTATTTCGAGCTTACTTGAGCTCGAACTAGCTTGTTCCCTGTGCCTAAATCGTAAAGAAGTTACCATTTTCAGAATGGCAACATAGCCACCAATAAGGCCTCGTTCGCGAGTACGTCTCCAACTCAAGCTGTTGAGAGTATGATTGTAGACAAGCTAGGACTTGAGTATGTTCTTCACCTTTTTCATGGAATCGTTTTTTTACAACATAGTTATACTAAGATTTTTCCAGCCTCTATAAAATGAAAGAAATGGATTGTTTGGTACGGGGAACGAACTTCTTACTACGAAATATCGAAGCAGAATCGTTCACCTATGACCATCATCATGAGCAGTGTCGCTATCATTTTGAGACCATTCGGCCCTCTGTTATTTGTCCATATTTACTGGTAAATGTGGGCACTGGTGTGTCTGTATTTCGGGTTAGTTGATTTTCAGTTTTTTGTTGTTAAATCAGATGGTTAAGGACGCTTTGATAGAATTCTTAAATTGCGTTATGGGCGGAGACGGTATAGTGGCAAGTGGCATACAGTTGACCACGCATGGTCCTGCTTCGAATCCCAGATCGATACCCGCCCAGGCGAAGCAAGCCTCCCATCCCTCCGGGGTCGAGGAATTGCTACCACATTCGTCTAGCACTGGTTTCTACATCGGCTAGCCATTGCAGGTCATTGTATAGGCCACATACGCGATCAAACTGCCACTACGATTCCGAATGGAAGTCCAATGTGGGGCGTATCCGTGGAAACGGGATTCGTAACACCAAAGACTCCATTTTTCATTCTACTTATTCGATTATCGGCCAGTTTCCTTTCCTTAGCGATGTGTTTAGGTGGACAGTGATGACAAATATGAACGTGTTGGAGGAAGTTCATTGGGTGGCGGATGTTTCTTTGGACTGGGCAACCTCCTCACTGCTGAAGTAGGTCTGTTGAGATATATTTATTGGAGAATTAGCCATCATTTAGTTTATTCATCCGAATGTTTTTTTTAATTATCAGATTTGAATGAAATGATGCGTATGGCTGAGGATGGCGACCATCGACAATTTGATATACTGGTTTCCGATATTTATGGGGGAAAGTAAGTTTTTGAGCGAGAGCATATTTCTGGTTTCGTTAACTACTAGAGCTTTTGGTTAACTGCATTTGGCCGAGATATGCTTTGTTAATAGAAATTACCGATTCAAAATGATCCTAGTGTTTAACTGATAAATTTCAATGTATCTCGTAACAGTCGGATTGCTTTTCGTTTCGCACGTATGCTCACATTTAGGTTTGCCAATTTGGGCCTTAGTGGTGATCTCATAGCTGGGTCATTTGGTAAATGTGCTCAGAAATCTCTTGCTGATGAGCTCAAAAAGTGTCCAGAGTTCAAGAAAAATGTTATGCGAAGTCTTCTGCTTATGATCAGCAACAGCATTGGACAGGTCAGTTTTACTTTCCTACCAGCTCTTTCTGTATCCTCCTTTCGATGTTGCACAAACAAATATCCTTTATGTAGAGTGGGTTCATTGCTTTTTTTTGTTGATCGTGTAATATTGCAGTTTGCATTTATGTATGCTCAAAGAGAAAAAACGAATCGCATATATTTTGATGGATTTCTTGTGCGAAACCATGCTATTATAATGCGAACCATTTCATTTGCTGTTGCATTCTGGAGTGAGGTGGGTGGATGCACAGACGATTTACATCTTTTTGTTTATTGAACAGTTTTTCGATTTTTTTCTCATTTTTTCACGTTTATTACACTTTGTTATTTTGTTGGCGCGTTTTTGCTCTGTAGTGCAGTAGTCAGGTGTTGTAGTGCCAAGAGGCGCATCATAACACAGACACAGTATGAGAATCAAATCTCCGGTTGATATCTGCCCAGTCCAACCAAGTCTCTAACCCCTTCGGGATCGATTAATTGGTACCAGTTTCGTTTGAGAGGGTAGAAGCACCGATTTTTGCATCGGCTGACCAACACAATTTATTGCATAGGCCTAATGCGCATTCAAACTTCCACTACGATTCTGACTGGAAGTCGAATGCAGGGAGCGCTCCCCGGAAACGGGATATATTAGTATCAGAGACTTGATACTTTACTTACAACAGTAGTACAAGATGTGGTTTCTGATGACAACGTTGGGGGTGCAATTATGGAGCAACAACTGGTGTAGTACGATAGCTTCGTACGTCAATGTTTGGTATTTTTGAAGTGTATACGCAATTTCTAAGCCTTACAAGAGCAAGCGTACTTTCATTATCCTTCTTTTCGTATGACGACCGCATAATGTTCCTCATTTGGTTCACGTTTTCAGTTTTTTTAAAATCAATTCAGAAATCCCAAATTATCATAGAAAAACTTTTAAAATACGAGTTGCTGGAAGTAACTTGTTTAGGGAACGCAACAAGCTCATTTTCTCCGACATGAAGGATACACTTCGGCTATAGGGGCGTATCTGAATGGAGCATCACTTGTGGATCCTGAGGAGGCGGAATTTGGAGCTGGATGTGAGCAGCCACTATATATACTAAATAGTATTGATCGCAGTTACTACTGTGTTACCAGTACGTCCTATATTGTAGATGAAGCGGAGCGTCTTTCATGGCATGAATATTACTCTGGTTGCTCAGAACTTGGAAGATTCGTACCAACTGCCCCATTGTCCATGGGTTTTACGGTAAATCTTATTTCTTTATTCCGTTGCCTGAATTGCACGTAAAGTTTCTCAGGCCGGTGTGCTCGAACTTGAATGTGCGGAGATAATTCTCAGGCCGTTCCCCCTGTTAGCAGAAAACCTCCAGGTTCGCGTAGCACTCCCTTCTTTTTGTCATCACTTGGTTTTGTAGCCTCTTTACTTTTTATGTTACAGTCTGAATCAAAGGTAATCGTGAGTTTGAATTCATAACTATTGCAAGGGGTAGTATAGTTGCTCGTTCTAACCAACCAAGGCGATTTGCTAGGCGCATCGTTTTAGAAGATACTTTTCGGTTCGTTGGTAGTTTGTATTAGTGTAGTATAACCGTAGCTGTTAACTGACTGCAATAACTAAGTTAGCTACTAAGTAATTGCGTTTGCTCTAGTAAACCATAATCGTCCTTTTCCCAAAAAAGTGTATTTAACCGGCAATCACTCAGGTTCATGGTCTAGAAATAGAGGTTTGAGAAGCAAGTAGTTGTCCTTCAAAATATATGTTTGAAGTACTTAGGAAAATAGCATTCTATATTACTAACCTGATGGATTGACAAATTGATCTCTGTAATAAGCCACTTTCATTTTCACCCAGCCATTTAACCATGTTTTAGGTTTATAAGCCTGATGTCGCTGACTTGAACTTGGATTGTGAAGCGAGAGAATTCTGGTTACGTACATTCGAAAATAGTGTTGACAATGTGAGTCAGAAACAAGCATGTTCAGTGTCACTTACTCTGTAATACACATTTTAATGTGGTATTTGTGTATTTATGCATATGTGTCGTTTAAAGGTGATGAAGAAGGCCGTTGAATCGCAGGAGAATTCTGAATCGGCCGTTCATCGAGTACAAGTCTTTCGAGAAAAGTTTCTTAAACAGTTAATGGTTATACGAGAAAAGCCGTTGTCAGTTCTTTTTTCAAATGCTTAAAATTTCTAATTAACACGTTCATGAATATGGCTATTTTCCACGTGGTTGCCCGACCTGATTCACAGTATAACAGCCAAAGTGCGCGTGGCAATCACTGGGCATGCCACCCTTGCTGAGAACGACGATTTGTCTGTTTGCTTCCACTATTTTGTAATTGTAACTATTTCTTCAATACCTTCCTCTGTCCAGTATCCCGTATTTCCTTGGGAGCGGATGTAGGTAAGTGGCAAGTGGCATTACGCACCTCCGCGGGATTAAATCTCGGATCGAACTCGCCCAGACTAGCCAAGCCCTTCATCCCTATGGCGTGAAGGTTACCAGGCTGACTCGTACCAGACTCTTTGAGAGGATAAAAAGGCTGATTTGTACATCGGCTGGCCAACGCAAGTCGTCGTAATGGCCGCATAGGCATTCAAAACGGCACTACGATTCTAAGTGGAAGTCGAATGCGGGGCGCATCCAAAGATGAAATTGGTTGACGCCAAAAAGCCTTTGGAGCCTCAGGAGTTTACCTAGTATTCTGTTAGTTTTTGGTCTAGGTCATGTTATTTGGTCTAGGTCATGTTATGCTGCTCACGTAGGGTTAGGTTTATGGTTGGTCCTACCGTTTGGACGCATGGAGAATGCCCATTCATCAGGATCGTGTTAATTAGTACCTATTTGGTTTATTATGCTGACTCTTGCAATTTTCAGTGCTTACGGGAACTCAAATGTTAGGAATCTACTTGATCTCAGGGAACAATTACTCAATGAACAAAACTTTGATGATTCGTATCTCAGCGTAAGCTTCATTTTCAATATTTTCTTCCGGAATCACAAGGCATTGTTTCTTGTTTCCAGCAAAAAACATTGGAAAATGCAGCTGCCCTCAAAGAACTGCCCTCTTTGTTGAAATCGATTGATGAGGTCCGGTAGTAAGAATATGATCTTTGATTTTACACTTTTTTATTGTATTCTATGTCAGGTTCATGGCGATGATGAACGACTACTACGTGTTGCTTCAGGTCTCCTAGCTGGTAATGTATTCGATTGGGGTGCTCAAAAGGTTCGATAGACTCCTATTAATATTATAATTCGCATTATACTCTTCTTAGGTATCTGTCCCATTTATTTTTGGCTGCTTTCTTGTCATTTTGGTCGATGACTCAATTTACTAGTTGACTCGGTTATTTGAGCTTATCTGTCTGTCGTTGTGGTTATGGTAATCCCACGTTCTTTAACTGAAGGAGTCTTCTCAGATTGTTTGAAAAAAATTTTCCTAGCAATTCTTGATTCAGGTAATCGAAATGATGGAATCATCGAAAGGTCTGTCATTTTCCGCTGCCGTATCGTCACTGCCTAGTACGTTTTAGGTTTCCTTTTGTTTCAGCTCTGTTTTCATAGTTTACAGTGAGGAATCGGGTATTTCAGGTAGACCATGGCTAATCGATTCTTTTGATGAATTTCAATCTTCCCTTAATTCGAAGCCATACAATTGTGCTGCCATATTTGTTGACAATAGTGGTGCAGACTTCATTCTGGGCGTAATCCCTTTTGCTCGGGAATTGCTGAGACGCGGTTCTCGGGTAAGCATGCATTTATGAAAATACCGTCGGTTAATGTGAATCTTTTTGTTTTCTTTCAGGTCATAATTGTATCAAATTTATCACCAGCGCTCAACGATCTGACCTATCCTGAGATGATGGAGATGGTACCGCTTCTGAGGAAAGTGGATGAATCACTGAACGAAGCCATCGCCAGTGGAAGGCTGACGTTTGAGCATAGCGGACAGAGCTCTCCTTGTTTGGATTTGAGGTTTGTTACTCGATGTTTACTTGATGATGTCTCATCTGAATAATGATTTATATTCTTTAAGATCGTGGGAAGGGTGGCCCGCGTGAGCCTTTACTTCTTTTACTCTTAGGGGAGGGGGGGAGTGTGTGTTTATTTTTATGGTATTCCAGGATTTTGATAAGGCTATGTGCACAAATGCATCTCGCCGACGTCAACAGGTAATGTTTTGACCCGGTTAGTACCACTTTTTCAGATTCAACGATTACTGATAGATAAAATTCATTAGGAGCTATTTACATGAAGACCTCTATTCTCTAGAACCAAGAACTATTGATAGTAAAATGCATTAGGAGTTACAAGAAGGACTTACAAGGTTTTTTCCTCTAAAAAATCATATTTTTGTATATTTTTTACGAATTTAGGAGGGTCAACTCGGTCCTTAATCGTCGAGTCCTTGAAGAACGTGTAGATTTGATCGTCATCGAAGGCATGGGACGTGCATTACATACGAATCTTCATGCACAGTTCATTTGCGACTCTTTGAAGGTAGGTACCGTTTCATTATTGTAACGTTTTAGTTTTGTTTTACTTTGTGTGTTTTACTATAATATTAGTTCCTTTTGAACCACTCCTTTCTTAATGTTTCTCAAGTCAGAGTGGCCTCGTTAGCCTCTTACAATTAGAGTAGTATAAGTAATAGTGAACTAGTAGTCAGCTGCGATACTGGCCTCTGTGATTTTTGAGATTGATATTTGAGATTTGCGGGAATGGGATGAGATGAAATCTGATAGATTGCTCGAGGTTTTCCTGAATTTCTTTAGTAAATATTATATTGCTGTTAATGCTGATGCGTTCGCCACGTGTGGTCTGGGACCAGTAGCTGGGACTTCGTCTGGCCAACCGAACCTTCCGTTCCTTCAGGGGTCGCTTGAAGTAAAGCAAATTTGTTGAAAAAACAATCGCACCGACTTCTATAATTTATTTATTGGGACCCCCAACTCGTACTGGACACTCCGTAGAATTCCAAGAAGTAGCTTTTTCTGTAGATGAGAGTGGAATGTTGGGATTATTCTAGGAAAGGGTTTATCAGCTTTAAGTGGTGAAATAGAAGATTCAAACTTCAAAATGTTAGAAGGAATAAAAAGAAGTTGTCAAATGGGAATCGCTGGTGTACTAGATCAATACATGAGTCATGATCATGCAATCATCAGCTCCTGAAGGGCAATGACTTATAGGGTGACAGTTTTCCTTGCCTGACTTTTCAATTGGATTTCCTTTAATTATTTCGTTTAGTTGACCCGATCTTGTCAAAGCCGTAAATTTTGTTCCAATGACTGCGTATATGGGTGGTCATGATGGGATTTTTTGTGTGTCCATCATCACATGTTCGAGAGAGGGGTGTTTTATAATTATCTGTTGTGGAATCTTTCGAATGTTTTGTGATGTTGTCCGAATAGCCATGTGAATGCACTGGGAACACCTTTTTGCAGTTACAGATTACTCGTAGCTAATTTACGTCCTTTCTAGTTGTGTACACACCCTTCCTGTCTTCTTTCCCCTTTCTTTGTTCTCTTTCCCCATTTCTAATGCCCTGTGTTGGGATTGTTTCCTGTACATCTGTCTAAATAGTCATAGGTCATTAGGTCCCATACATCGTTATTGCAGTAGAGTATGAGCAATTCTTAGAACTGGTAGAAGGGCGTTAATCAATCCCGTCTGGGGAATGCGCCCACGCAGTCGACTTCCACCAAAATCGTAGTAGCGTATTGAATGCGTATGTGGCCTATACAATGGCTTGCGGGGCCAGCCCATGTGCAAATCAGTGCTT